AAAAATAATTTCATATCCAGGGTGATCCTGCCACTGCTTTCCAATTAAGATTTAGGAGACCTCCCTAGCCAGTTTGGCTCAGTGGATAGAGTGTCGGCCTGTGGACTGAAGAGTCCTGGGTTTATTTCTGGTCAAGGGCACATGCCTGGGTTGCAGGCTCGATCCCCAGTGTGGGGCGTGCAGGAGGCAGCCAATCAATGATTCTCTCTCATCATTGATGTTTCTTTCTCTCTCTCTCTCTCTCTCTCTCTCTCTCTCTCTCTCTCTCTCTCCCCCTCTCCCTTCCTCTCTGAAGGAGACCAACATGAAGGTTTATATTAAACATAAATTTTGAACCAGGAAACTTTGGAGACTGAAAAAGGAAGACTTGGTAGCCAGGAGCACAATTCCAGGAAAAAGCTATATGTATGTGCAAATATCAGTTCCAAGGCCTCCCAGGGTTGAGCAAAGATCCTGCACACAAATAGGAGAAAGCATACACCCAAAAGCAAGTCTGAACATCAAGTACTGGAGATTCCACTGCCAACATATTCTGTGCAAGGCTTAGCATAACAAACTCGAGTTCAATTTCTAGCTCTGTATTCATTGGCTATATGGCCTTTTAGTAAGTTAGTAAAATTCTTTGAACCTCAGTTTTCCTATCTTTAACTCTTCATCAAAATCATGGCATGGTTCTGTACCTTTCACTATATTAATAAATACATATTTAGAACTACAATCAATATGATGTTATCTGCCCCCTCCCACGCCTACACCTCAGGACCTTTGCACTTGCTGTTCCCTCTTCTTAGTATGCTCTTCCCTCTTGGATCTATATTCCTCACTTCCTCCAGATTTCTACTCAAAAGTCACATTCTCAACAAGGTTTCCTCTGACCACCCTATCTAAAACTTCTATTACCCTAATTTTTCTCCCCAAAACTTAATATTCCCCCCTCCCTGTTTTCTTACCATGTATCACCACTATAAATTTTGCTAATATGGTTATTGTCTGCCTCCCCTACTTGAAGGGGGAGTTCAAAGAGAACAGGGATTTCTGTCTGTTTTATTCACTGCTGTATCACCAGTTCCCAGAACGGCATCTGGCACACAGTAGGTGCTCAATAAAAAGTCTGTTGAGGAAGAGAATTAATGACAGCTTACAGACAGGTAAACCTTAGCCCCTCAAGCTGCCTTTGGGGAGAATATCACAACACTTCAAAAATACTATAAAGCTGCCCTAGCCAGTGTGCTCAGTGGATAGAGCGTCGGCCTGCGGACTGTAAGGTCCTGGGTTCGATTCTGGTCAGGGGCACATGCCCGGGTTGTGGGCTCCATCTCCAGTAGGGGGTGTGCAGGAGACAGTCGATCCATGGTTCTCTCTCATCATTGATGTTTCTATCTCTCCCTCTTCCTTCCTCTCTGAAATCAATTAAAATATATATATATATATTTTTTAAATACTGTAAAGGAGAACAACAGGCTTGCAAGGAATAACACTGTCCATCCTTTTATCATAGAGAAAAAGACACTCTACCTCCCATCTCTCCTGTACAAGGAAGGGATTAAAGAAGCCGGTAATTTGGATAAAATGGGACGCTATATGCAGTGAAGTTAACTTTAGCTAACACTACACAGATAAGATTTTCTTTTAATGTTAATAGATATTAAGCCATTTTTCTGTGATTTTACAACACCACCTTCTGGGTATGTTTTTTTTCTCTTTAGCTTTGACTTCTATAGAACCAGTCTTGAAACTTATGGACTTCATATTTTCAATTAACTAAATAACAAATATTTACTGAACACATGGGACTCTGCAAAATCCTGTAGAGCCAGTGGTTCTCAACCCTTCCTAATGCCGCGACCCTTTAATACAGTTCCTCATGTTGTGGTGACCCCCAACCATAAAATTATTTTCGTTGCTACTTCATAACTGTAATTTTGCTACTGTTATGAATCGTAAATGTAAAATATCTGATATGCAGGATGTATTTAGGCGACCCCTGTGAAAAGTTGAGAACTGCTGCTGTAGAGGATACCATGAAGTGAAATATATATGGTGGCAAGGACCTTATGCAGGGCAAGGACCACACACACACACACACACACACATACACACACACACACACACAGGAGACACACACACACGGAAGACCAGAACTATATCTGCAAATGAAGAACTTCGGGCAGCCAACATGTGATGAATTCAAAGATGTCTATCTTTGTATGGAGTAGAAGAGGACCAATTCATCTCTTACACGCCATCCACTAAGCTTAGAATACCAACACTTAAAAAGCAAAAGTCGCCGAACCGGTTTGGCTCAGTGGATAGAGCGTCAGCCTGCGGACTCAAGGGTCCCAGGTTCGACTCCGGTCAAGGGCATGTAGCTGGGTTGTGGGCACATCCCTACTGGGGGCTGTGCAGGAGGCAGCTGATTGATCGCTCTCATTGATGTTTCTAACTCTCTATCCCTCTCCCTTCTTCTCTGTAAAAATTCAATAAAATATATTTTAAAAAAAAAAGCAAAAGTCAAACATGACTGAAGTTAAGTTCACATGCATTTATGGGTCACATGAGATGCAACAGACTCAGTATCAAACACTGGGTAAAAAAAATAAATAAAAATTTAACTACAAATAAGGGCACCAAATTCTAAACTTATAAAGAACAGAAACCAGATGGGCTTATGTTGTGCTTAGGCACAGGCAGGAGCTTAAGCAATTGTTAAAGAAGCAGAGAAGGTGGTGGTGATCTTTTATCTTCAGACGGAATACCTGCAGGTTTCCACCCAGTTTTAGTCTTGTGCGTTTCTTTTTTTTATTCCTTTGAACCAGGTCTAGTGGGAAACCTAAGATGCACTTTTTTTCTCTGAACCTTAAAAACTCAGCACCAGCCCTTCGCCCAGCAAGAGTTACTTGAGGCTAGACTCGCTCCTTGCTAGAGATTCACCATACTAATTTAATTATTAAGCACCTGGAGTCGGAATACCTGCGCTCAAATCCGGACACCACCACTTATTAGCTATTAGCTGTGTGAACCCGGGCAAGGTAATTAACCTTCCTAAGCCTCCTCTTTAAAAGGGGGAATCGGGACACAGAGCACCCTCATTGGCTTAGATTGATTGAGATAAAACATACAAAAGGCTTGCCCCGAGCCTCACCCCAAGAAGCCCTCAATAAACGTAATGATTATTTTCAGGGGGTGAAAATGCCCCACGGCTGGGAGCGATGCACCTGAGGATTCTTGCAATAGGTTATCATTAAAGCCAAAGTCAAACACTAGGATCCTGAATGTCAACTGTAAATTGAAAAAAAAAAATTTTAAAGCCAAAAAGTCAAAGACTTTGGTGTCTGGACTTGTGGACACTCTAAGCAACAGGAATGACGATAATAACAGGGCAACACCAACCAGAATCATAACCTGTCACAGCGGCAGCAACGGGACCCCTTACGGACACGGTCCTAACCGAGAAGGCAAGGCTGCTGAATCCAAAAACATAAAATTGCAGAATTTTTTTCCCCACCCTCTTCTTTTTTAAAAAAACACGGTAATTGGTGCCCAAGTTTTGCTAAAAACAGACATCTCAAAGGACTGCAGATTTAACGTGTCATTTCTCCCTGCCCGGGAGGTGGGGCCGCGGAGGGAGGAGGGGGCGGCGCTCGGCCCGGCCCGGCCGGAGGGAAAGGCCACGCGCAGCGGAGGAGCAGCCGAGTCGGGGTTCGTCCCCGAATTCAGATCCGGCGTCTGCAGCCCGCGAGGGGGCACGGAAGGCTCGGCCTTTAAAATAACCTGGAAACAAGTGTCATCTGCCTTCCGGGCCAGTCCGCGCCCAGGCACAAGGTTCGGGTGCCGGAGTCGCGGTGCGATCCGGAAACCCTGGTCCCGCTTCCCATCCACCGTCTCCAAGAACCACAGTCCCACCCGGGGGGACGGTAGAGGCCGGTGAGGGGGGGGGTGAATGGGAAAGAAACCCCCCAAATAGGCCGGGTTTTTTTTGGCGGCGTTGCCCCCCCCGGAGGCAATGTCAAGGGGCCCTCTTTTCGTTTTCGGGGTAAGGGCCCAAGGACTGGAGAGGATCGGGGGACCGGGGGGGTACAAGTTTTCATAAGAATGTTCGGGGCTGGACTTCAGGGACAAGGAAGGAAAACGAGGTTGGGTCTCGTAGCTAGACAGGTGGGTGAGTCCCCACTCCTTTTTTGGGGTGG